AACCAAGTCAAGAATTTTGCTGAGTATTGCGAGAGGGCAAAGGTACATGCCTATAGCTCATTGACTCCAGGATGCCACATGTGAATACTTAATTTAGTACTTACACAAAGTAAGTGAAAACCACCCCTGTGCAGAGTTCAAATACAATATAAAGATGCACTTGAGCTAATAGCTACATTAAATACAATCACATAAAGCAATAAGGAACATGTAGGCATTTTGCTTTGCAACCAGGACATTTGACAAGTCTTCCACTGTTAAGCGAACTCTATCCTGCTGATGGTAATTGCACCCTCTTAAGTTAGGGATAGAAAACAATATTTGCACATTGCAAAGGTAAGAACCAAGGAGAAAACCTGGATCTGAATCTTACTGAAGTTTAACATGTTCCTGATGCAGGCCTTTGGTTTGGCTCATTAGCAGCAACTAAATTCTGGCCTATCTAAATTTTGTTAATGTGGCATGCCTTATTTTTGGAACTTGAGGCATGCCTGGACCTAAATTTAGAAAATACTGAGCAAATTCAAAGTGTAGTTGAGAGTACTTGGCCTTTTTGTACCAGTTTTACACCAGTGTAACTCACTTGATTTCAGGTAAATCAAAGTAGTATTAAAATGGAGACAGTGAATCCAGGGCCTAATTTTCATTAAAAATATATAAAAACTTTCTTATGGATTAAATAAAAGACTATTTCTCTTGATTTTCCTCTCCCCTGCTCCAGACATTATGCTGTGATACAGCCAAATCTCAAGCTGAAAATCTTTGGAGAATAATAGGTGCTGTATGATTTGCTGAGTTAGATCCCATATCTTATGAAGCATACTACTGGAGAATGATTATGAGCTTCTAATAAAGGAGGAGAATCTCCACACAGGGAGAAAAGACCTTGTTTGTGCATACATTTAAATCCACATGCATATATTGCCTTTCAAGAACTTAATGAGTCATTTTATTTTTCCCCCAAGAGGTCCAGAGTTACAAAAACATTGTATTTTAAACTTGTGAGCTCTTCATTATAAACATATTTTACGTGCTATTGCATTAGGGATATGCTTCTCTGGTAGCTGAAAAATTAAGTTATTGTGCCTAGGTTCTCTTTAGTACTTGCTATGCTTCACCGAAAGATATTCAGCACGAGATTGGTGGTATGTCAGTTGGCTTAAATAATACCTTAGTGTCTGATCCTACAAACATTTCCTACTTGGTGTGTGGTCCCATGCAATGATGTTCCACACTATGATATTGTGCAATCGGGTGTGTAGGTCATTCCGAGGCAGAAGAACTACGCTCATTAGTCAGATTAGACCCTTTGATTTCTGCTCTTTATAACATCCTGAAGACAAGACCAGCCAACAATTTTGGGCACTTCACCTAAAATATAAGAACCTTAAAGTGTCCTAAATTATCTGGCACCTTGCCAACCTGTGGGCAGACACTAAATGAGTTTTAATTTTTGCACAGAAATCAAATATTGTCAAGGGGAACATTGGGGGTGGGAGCCCTACTCATCTGGCCAACAGCTGGATTGACTGGGCTATTATTTCAACAAGTACTTACAACCACTTTTTTGTTGCTTCCTCCCAGAACAGCAAAAAACAAAAACAAAACAAAACAACAAATAGCAGCACAGATTAACATGTCAACTTCATATCCACGCACAGACAAAGTGAACCATGTGCATAGAACTAGTAACCCTTTCCCATGCTAAAAACACTATTATACTGAAATAGGAAGAGAGAAAGAGCAGTTAGAATACTTACTTTACAATACATTACTATATTACAAATTATGACCAAAGAAAGCATGTTTTAATAGGGAAGTAGAGGACCCAATCTTGAAAACACTTCTTCTTATGGGTAATTGTGTGTGCTTACATAAAATGTTTTAATGCTTGAGGGGTCTATACACATGCATTTGTACAACAGCACAAATGCTTATAGACTCAGGACTTTCAATTTTCATATTTAGCATTTTAGTTATACTTTTTTGGAGAAACTCTCCTTATTTTTGCAAGAGAAGGTACATTCTCCTACTGTGACTTATTTCAATTTATTAGCTATTATCCATATATGCAAGAGATGGATTCCTTTAGGTAAAATGTGGGTAAGTATTCCTGTGGACAAATTATATCCCCCATTATCTTACCTACTTTCTGCCTGCTGTACAATCTTTGCCAGGTCCACTTCTAACATTCTCAAAAGCGTCACAGATCACACTTTCTTTTTTTCCTAAACCAGCCCAATACACAAAAACCCTTCTCTTTCTTCTTTAAAATATATAGAAGATTTTCTCCGCCCCCAATTACAGAACAGTAGAATTGATGCCTTAGATAGGAAGCATTAATCAATAACGAATGGGTTTCAGATGCAGAAACTATGTCTTAAGTGGAAATTTGTGAGAGCCACTTGATGCTTGGTGCTCACTAATATCACCCACCTGTGGGACTTAGTGTGGTGTAGCTACCACACTGAAAAGTTCAAACCACAGCTTACTGCATCTAACTTGCTTATGTAGACCAGCTATCAGTCTGTGTTTGGAAAGTGTGTAGCATCTTTTAAAATTGTACCTTCACCTGTTAAACCACCATAAGTCTAAATTGCAACACAGAGGGAAAACAGGGGACCTGGCTCCAAACACACAACCAAAGCATTAAGGGGGTCTCAGTCATTCAGAGTGCAATCTCTATCCCTTCCTTCCCTAGCTAATAAAGCTTTCCTCTGTGATAAACCAGAAGAGGAAAAACACAGCAAAGGACTGAGAACGATCTTACCAGCTGGAAGAGAGGAAAGTGAAGCATGTAGCAGTCAAATCAAAATGTCCCCTTAGGAATGCAGCTGCTTCTCTCTCCCAAATTTAAAGGGCCAGCTACTGAGGGGAGGAAGAAGTTGGGGAGAGCCAAGGAGGGAGGGGGAGAAAGTCATGAAAACAGAATCTACAGCAGGTGGTCAGCAAACAGGGAAGGAATTCAGTTTAATGAAGGGGTAAATTTGTGGAAAATCAAGGGCAAGAGATCAAAATGGAAAATATCCAGCTGTATTTCCCAGATATTGAAAATTTGATGCAATTGTGTCCATCTGATTCTCTTTTGAAATTGTAGTTCAGAAATAAAATACAAATGTTCTTCACCACCATTTCAACCTATGTACCATGACTGTATCAATAAGAACCATTGCTGTTTCAATAATAAATGAATAGTGCATGAATATATTTCAGGAGAAGTCCTTGAAATACCACATCTCAGAGAGAGGATTTCCTATCATGAAGGCTCAGTTTCACTGAATATCCTGTGAAAAGCCACACAAGCAGGACAGGGAGAATGTCAAGGCTTCAAGGCTATAGAAATTATTACCAAGATGCAATGATAATGACAATACCATTGATCCAAATGGAGCTAGAATTCTCTCCACTAGCTAGAGACTCTAGACCATTTGCAGTCTGCAGGAGAACTGATTTGATTCAGATTGTCTTCTGCCAAAACAGAAAGACAGGAAGAAAGAAGAGTGTTTTTGGATAGTTATTGTAATAATAATAATAATAATATAACAATAATAAAATAACAATACAATAATAAAATAACATGTTAATGAATACTGGCATAGTAGTATAATATTTTGCTTTCTTTTGCAAACTATGAAAAAATAACGTGTGCGCTTGTGTACCAGTATCCTGGATGTACAGACAGAGCAGAGAAATGTTTGCATGCAGAAGACAATATGGGGCAGAAGTGACTAAAGAATGTGACCTTCAGCCAAAGGCTGGAGAAATAAGCCCATTAGACTAAAACTCTGCCATCAGAAAAAAGGTGGAGTCAGGAAACTCTCAGAAGCTTGAAATGGCCAGCAGAGTAAATCTGTGAAGGCTAACACAGCAGCAAGCTGATGATACCTGTCACAGCGGGGTCCTTTAGGAGGGCCATGATCTCCTCAAGGTCCCTCGTTCCGTGTCAAGGCCGGCCCAAGGCACCCTCTTATTCTCGCCCGCCATGTCTTT